AAGTAGATCACTGGGCATTGGTCAAAATTATCCTTAGAGAAATAAGGAGATGTTTCTCGATTATGGAGGTGATAAAAGAGCCCGTCGTAAAAAGTTACAACGATGCAAGCTTTTACACCATCCAGATGACTCTAAGTCTCAATCTGGATACATATTGAAAGTGGGAGCAATCAGCTAGAGTAGCTCCGTGCAGAGCATTGTGGACATAGAATATTTGTAAAATACATACGGCTCTAAATATGACAGACCTGTTGACTAAACTTCTCTCACAAGCAAAACATGATCATACCTTAGTACTCTTTGGGTGTTAATCACATAACGATGTGAACTAGATTATTGACTCTAGTAAACCCTTTGGGTGTTGATCACATGACGATGTGAACTATGGATATTAACACATACAGATGTGAATATTGGTGTTAAATCACATGGCAATGTGAACTAGATTATTGACTCTAGTGCAAGTGGGAGACTGAAGGAAATATGCCCTAGAGGCAATAATAAAGTTATTATTTATTACCTTATTTCATGATAAATGTTTATTATTCATGCTAGAATTGTATTAACCGGAAACATAATACATGTGTGAATACATAGACAAACATAGTGTCACTAGTATGCCTCTACTTAACTAGCTCGTTTATCAAAGATGGTTATGTTTCCTAGCCATGGACAAATGAGTTGTCATTTGATTAACGGGATCACATCATTAGGAGAATGATGTGATTGACATGACCCATTCCGTTAGCTTAGCACTTGATCGTTTAGTATGTTGCTATTGCTTTCTTCATGACTTATACATGTTCCTATGACTATGAGATTATGCAACTCCCGTTTACCGGAGGAACACTTTGTGTGCTACCAAACGTCACAACATAACTGGGTGATTATAAAGGAGCTCTACAGGTGTCTCCGAAGGTACATGTTGGGTTGGCGTATTTCAAGATTAGGATTTGTCACTCTGATTGTCGGAGAGGTATCTCTGGGCCCTCTCGGTAATACATATCACTATAAGCCTTGCAAGCAATGTGACTAATGAGTTAGTTGCAAGATGATGTATTACGGAACAAGTAAAGAGACTTGCCGGTAACGAGATTGAACTAGGTATTGAGATACCGACGATCGAATCTCGGGCAAGTAACATACCGATGACAAAGGGAACAACGTATGTTGTTATGCGGTTTGACCGATAAAGATCTTCGTAGAATATGTGGGAGCCAATATGAGCATCCAGGTTCCGCTATTGGTTATTGTCCGGAAACGTGTTTCGGTCATGTCTACATTGTTCTCGAACCCGTAGGGTTCGCACACTTAAGGTTTCGATGACAGTTATATTATGAGTTTATGAGTTTTGATGTACCGAAGGAGTTCGGAGTCCCAGATGAGATCGGGGACATGACGAGGAGTCTCGAAATGCTCGAGACGTAAAGATCGATATATTGAACGACTATATTCGGAGTTCGGAAAGATTCCGAGTGATTCGGGTATTTTTCGGAGTACCGGAGAGTTACGGGAATTCGCCGGGGAGTATATGGGCCTTATTGGGCCATACGGGAATAGAGGAGAGAGGCCAAAAGGAAGGAGGCCTGCGCCCCCCTCTGGTCCGAATTGGACAAGGGGGGCAGCCCCCTTTTCCTTCTCCCTCTCCTCCTCTTTCATTCTCTCCTACTCCAACAAGGAAAGGAGGAGTCCTACTCCCGGTGGGAGTAGGACTCCCCCCTTGGCGCGCCTCCTCCCTAGGCCGGCCGCCTCCCCCCTTGCTCCTTTATATATGGGGGCAGGGGGGCACCCCAAGACACACAAGTTGATCTTCGTGATCGTTCCTTAGCCGTGTGCGGTGCCCCCCTCCACCATATTCCACCTCGGTCATATCATTGCGGTGCTTAGGCGAAGCCCTGCGTCGGTAGAACATCATCATCGTCACCACGCCATCGTGCTGACGGAACTCATCCCCGACACCCTGCTGGATCGAAGTCCGGGGATCGTCATCGAGCTGAACGTGTGCTGAACTCGGAGGTGCCGTACGTTCGGTGCTTGGATCGGTCGGATCATGAAGATGTACGACTACATCAACCGCGTTGTCATAACGCTTCCGCTTTCGGTCTACGAGGGTACGTGGACACACTCTCCCCTCTCGTTGCTATGCATCACCATGATCTTGCGTGTGCGTAGGAAATTTTTGAAATTACTACGTTCCCCAACACAAACAGGCCAGGGAAGGTCGGGCGCCTTGGAACACCACGGCATTTCTATGCTTCCACAGCTGCCAACAGCAAAGGAGGGTGAAGGAGGCGTGGGCAACATCACCAGTCACCCCCCGCACGTCCAGGGCCTGAAGCGCGCCAACATGGTAGCTCTTCCCGACCACCTCGACGCCCACGGCCAGCCAGAACGAGCGGGCAAAGGGACAATCGAAGATCAGGTGATCCGCCGTTTCGACCACACGCGCACAGATGGGGCATGTGGCTTCCGTAGCCGTCACAATAGTCTTCCGGAGCAGGACATCTCTCGTGTGGATCCTCCGTTTCACGAGGAGCCACCCGAAGAACCGGACACGGGATGGTGCCGCACACCCCCATATGAAACCAGCGAAGGAGGCTCGCGTGCCGCCGAAGCGTTCCAGGGCGTAGACGGCTGCCGTAGCGACGCCCCCGCTCACGCTACGGCACAACACAGGGTAGCGTTCGTCATCGCCAGGGGGCTCCCGAACCTCAGCGAGCAACACCAGGAGAGCACCCCGCTCGGCGCCCCCGGCGGTGGTGAGCCTGGGGACGAGCACCCGGTCGAGGCCGCGGGCGCGCACCTGCCACACAGTGGCCTCCGTGTCCGTAGCGTGCGAGAGGAGGGCAGGGAAGGCCGCCGAGACGGGCCCGCACGGCAGCCAGTGATCAAACCAGAAGGACGTCCGCCGCCCGTCCCGTACCGCCACCGTCGTCAGACTCCGATAGAGCGGCAGCATCTTGGACAGCGCCCTGGCGTGCTCGCCGGCCGACCGTGAGCCTGAAGCAGAGAGCAGGGAGTGCCCGCCCAGCCCCGCCTACACCCACGCTGCCCATCGCGAGGACGTGGGAGCCGCGTGGAGACGGTGCATCATCTTGATCAACAGGCACCGGTTTTGCGTCGCGAGGTCCCGCACGTCGAGGCCCCCCTCCTCCTTGGTTCGGCAGACCCGCTCCCAGGGCACAAGGCATTGCGCGCCGGCGGCACGGTCGGCAGCATTCCAGAGGAAAGCGCGGTGCAGCGAGTCCAACTTTTTGAGCACCGCCGGGGGAAGGAGCATGGTCGCCATCGCGTACGTCGGAAGGGCATCCAGCACCGCGTTGTGCAGCACCAGCCGCCCGGCAGGGGAGAGGAGCCGAGCCCGCCAGCCTGCCAGGTACTTGTCCACTTTCGCAAGCATGGGGAGGAAGTCGGCGAAGGTGAGCTTTTCCCATGATAGCGGCAGCCCGAGATAGGCCTGCGGGAACCCCTGGACGGCGCAGCCAAGAGTGCCAACGGCCTCCTCCAACACCTCCGCAGGCACGTGCATGGGGACAAGCGTGCTCTTTGAGAAGTTTATGTCCAGCCCCGTCGCGGCCGTGAAATCGTCGAGGATGCGGCGAAGGCGGGCAGTTGCACCACGCTCCGCCCTTTTTAAAAGATGTTTTGATATTAAGGACAAGGACCTGCTTTGGCTGCTTGGTCCAAAGTATGTAGGCCCAAAGGACAAGGTGATCCCAGTGTTCAGAATAAGGCTCGGATGCTTAAGAATTTGCACAAGTTCTTTAGTAGACATGATTTCCCCTCGGTAAAATTGGTGTGGACTACATAGTAGTATAGTAATGACAATCTAGGAGATGGTAAAAGTGCTCTATTCTGGTGGTTTGATGAGTGCTTTCATCTTAAGTTTCCCCACTTAGTCTGTTCTCAGGAGATGGTAAAAGTGCTCTATTCTGGTGGTTTGATGAGTGCTTTCATCTTAAGTTTCCCCACTTAGTCTGTTCTCAGGAGAGAGCTAAGCATCATCGCTTTTGGAGCTGTCCTTTTGCTGAGGAATGCTGGACTTTTGTTTGCCCTCAGAGAGGCAGGAATATCTCTGTTCTGGAGGCTTTTCATGATCTGAAGCCTAAGTTAGCAGTTCCATTTTTCATGGAGATAATCAGCCTTGCAGCTTGGGCCATCTGGTTGTCTAGAAACGGCAAAATCTTCTGAGCCATGGTGCCAAGTTTTCAGACATGGAAGCAAATTTACTATCAGGAGCTATCTTTGTTGGGCTATAGAATAAAAGGAAATATGCCTCTCTGTATCATTCTTGGCTTCAAGATCAACTGCATTTGTTAATTGTAGATAGATGATCGGATTATCTTAAGCCTGATGTATTTTTGTACACTACATTTATTTTTATAAAAAAAAGCAGTGGGGTTTTTCCCCACTGCTGCCCTTCAAACAAAAAGTCATACGGAAAGGGTAATGGTGAAGAATGGGGGAAAAGAGAAAGAAAGCCAACAAGTCTTCCTATTAAGTAATTCTAACCTATCGCACGTGAGCATATGTGTTTCTACAGTGTTCCTAAGAAAAAGGAAATTCCAACCTAGGTTAGCCAAATTTACATGCCACGATCACATAGTCAATAATCTTCAAGTCCGATAAGATTTCTTTGAAACTTGGACTATGCAAGGTGATGATTGCTTCATCTCAGCATAACAATGACATAACGATTTTATCATCCAGTTCCTATGTTTTTTTAATTTATTTCAAACGAGACTTAAAGAGGTGTAAAATCAGACAACTCTTAATTCTGCCACGTACAAAAAGGAGTTTTGAAGCCTACATTTGAGTCCCATAGATGACCTTTAAGTTTCTTTTCCTATCTATCCAACATATCACATGCATGAAATACCTTCGGCATGACAATTACAGGCATGGAGTAGACACAACAGGCAATGTTTTCTCTGGGTAGTGCAAAGCGATGCTAGTATCTATCGCAGCCATGGAGCATTTCATCTCGGTGAAAAACCGCACTACTGACTGAGGGGCACGCACTCAAGCTTGATCTCAAGCTCCCCGTGCTCGACGTTCTGAAGCCTCAATGCAATCTCCTGCTCCACCTTACCATCGACGATCGAGATAATGCTGTCCTTGGCTAGAATGCTGTTCTCGCTTGCCAAGAATGTGCATATCTGTGTCGATTCTGTGATGATGGAGCTCTGGTACTCTCTTGCTGCAGAGATCAATGGCTGGATATCAACTTCAGCCTCTCCCATTCGGTCGTCGGAGGTGAATGTGTCCTTGTCGAACACTAGCTGTCATGTAGTACAAAGCAGATTGCTAAGAGTAATTTTGGGGGCAGTTTAGGTCTCATGTGCTTATCAAAAATTATTCTTACACAAATGTGCCAAACCACCAGAATGCAGCCTATCCCTCATCCATAAAATAAGAATATCTTATAATGATGAGAACTAACTACGTATATGTAAACCTCAACAAGTATAAATTTAATCACTGGCTACTACTTCCTCCGTCCAGAATTAGTTGACGCTCAAACGGATGTATCCAGACGTGCTAGATACATCTGTTTGAGCGCCAATTAATTCCGGACAGAGGGAGTATGTTTTATTAGTTAAAACTGGTAGGTATTTCAATACCCGAGAATAAATCTAGACACTAAACTTTCAATACCTTAGCCATACACATCAAAGATAAAATTCCACTCGCACACATAAGCTATTCTACGACACTCGGCAAAGACGATAACCTCAACTTTCCATTGAGATGAACTAGGTAAAATAAATAAAATAAAATTTTAGCTGCTAATAAACTTCATGTCCACAGGAAAGAACACATACCACTTTAAGAGGCGGCACTGGGTCAGGGATTGATAGCATCAATCTTTCATTCCATATAGGGTTCAGTGTGTTCTTTATCACCTTTGTTTTCATAGACTAAAATGGAGAAATTGTTAACTGAATTATAAGAGGAAAAAATTGCACGACTAATCTGCCATAACAAACAATGAATGAAATTTGCTTACTTGGTGTCCTAGTATAATCATAACATATGGATCACTTGACATCACATCACGAACAGCTAAATCTGTGCCCCTTATGATGTCGACCTTAATTAATCCAACGAACTCTACCATGCCCACATCCATCTGAAAAATAATATGTACAGTTACAGTGGAAGTAGTGTAAGACTAGCAATGGCTATGACAGTTTGTCGCACCATTTTTTTTACTCCTTTGTTTTCGGATTCCTTTTTCCTCCAGCTATTTCTGAAAGTACCATGTTTGCTGCCACTATGTTGCTGGTTATGACGTTTTTCTGCTCCATGTTTGTGTAAAGGGCATGCAAATTGTGGATTAGTCACAAACTGTTGAAGCTCGTATTTTTTCCTGCATATAGACAAACAGAAACAAAATAGTTTTGTCAGACAGAGTCAGAGAAAAGTAGTGACGGTAGATGTTATACCTAATGAAAATAGCACGGTCCTCTGTTGCAAAATCTTGTCTTGGCTTTTTGTAGTTTTCGGATAAAAACGCTTCATATTTGGTGTTCACAGTAGCATTTCCACCTGAATTAGCTAAACAATTGACTTCCTCATCTGTCCATTCGTCTAGATTCACCGAAATCACCTGTGCACACTCAACCAAAAATAGTTGATTAGTTCAGTAGAAGATCTGTCAAGAAAATATTCACCATGTTAACTATGTACGGTTTTCAAAATACAAATACAGGAGGCCATTGCTAGAAAAAATTCACCATATGTGTATACTTTACAGGGGAAATTGGTGTGTTAATACTAGTACGGATCAGCTAATTCAAAAAATAAACAATAAAGCTATGTTCATGCTTCACCATGTTAAGTATATGTACGGGTTTCAAAATACAAATACAGGAGGCCATTGCTAGAAAAAAATCACCATATGTGTATACTTTACAGGGGAAATTGGAGTGTTAATACTAGCACGGATCAGCTAATTCAGAAAATAAATAATAAAGCTATGTTCATGCTTTTTCTAATCAAAATATTGAGCAACTTCAGGGTACAAATATTGAGCAACTTCAGGGTACAAATATTGAGCAACTTCAGGGTACAAATATTGAGCAACTTCAGGGTACAAGTATAAAGTATTGGTCTTATAGAGCACAGAATGTGGAACAAGTCCAGCTAAAGTAAAATTGGAGACGAGAATACGACACAACAACAAGAACTACATAGACCCCATTGCTTACCTTTGATATGTGTACTCCAAGACTTCTGTGAGTTCCAGAGCACTTGATGCAAATGAACGCACCGAAAGGCAAAGCCCTACATATGCCACACCAGTTAATGGTAGTGAGAAAATATTGGCCTGAATATGATCACGATCGAGCGTTAAGCATTTCGGCGGAAACTGGAGTAGCAGCTAAATCCTAACGAAAGCAGCATCAGACGTAGCAGACACAGTAGGAATTAGTAGGTAAGAATGCCGCGTATCTGAAAATTAATTGATACTTACGCCCATTTTGGATCTGGGGTGCCACAATCTGCACAGAACTTGTTGGCAGGTTGGTTAAGTAGAGTTTCCAATCTGTCCCTTGCATTGGATGGATCTGCGTCTGTTAAGCATGGGAAGTGATCATTGGCAGGACACATCATAATACAGACAAAGCAAATTCCACCAACAAATGTAGATGGTACATATATTCGGACGTGGCGCTAGCAATACGAGCAAGAAATGAGATCAACGAGGATGGAAATTAAGGAAGGGGATCAACAAATGTACAGTACTGCAGACAGATGAAAGGATCGGAAATTAGTTCTTCAGAGCGCAGACCGCAAAGGCTCAACGAACGTTGAACCAAAGCCTAAAATAAATCATGTATGCGCCCCATCTATTCGAACCATCAACCTTATATTTAAGATAAATCATGGAATCATGGATTCAAATTGAAATTCGCAGGGGCAGAATCGCGACGCCAGGGAAAAAAAAAAGAAACAAACCTGATGTATCGGAGTGATCATCGCCGTCATTTTGGGATGAATATCCATCGCGTGTCCTTGGAAGGCAGAAAAGGAGCACCAAATCACAAACTCACATCGAATCCACATAGGCATGATTTAAGGAGGATCGTAAAAAAAGAAAAGTAATGTAGAGGGGGAAATTGAGGGAGGTTGTAATCTGTGCTGCTCACTTCCTGTAATGCGAACTGTGTGTATCGTCAAGAAAATGCATGAGATTGTTGTCCTCGTCCATTCCCTCCTCCTATTCAGCTCCTCGTGGCGACGCAGGCAAGGACGTGGGCGTGGCGGCGGCCCATCACCACATTCCGGCGATAAAATTGTGGGTTCGGAGCCCGGCGAGGATCAGATCGGTCGGAGGAAGAGACGGGCCATGGTGACGTCGGAGCTCCTGTCGTTTGGTCTTGGCGCCGTTCCTCGATCGTCGTCGTTTCTGTTTCTGTTTCTGTGGGGGTGGAAGCGCGGTTGACCAAGAATAGAATAGGCGGTGAAGGCGATGTGGACGCCCGAATTAAATGCTGACGCACGTGCCCAATATATGTCTCAATCCATCCATCTTCGTCTACTAACTCTGGCAGCATGCATGCACCGCCGGCAGAAGAAGATCTCAACCTGGCGTGATCATTCAGTTTGATTTCCTTGTGCTACGCCAAGACAGAGTTTGGGCTTTGGACTGATCTTGGCTGATCGTCAGGATGTCGATTACCATGCACTGTGGTCATCACACAGAATGCCTGTTGGCGTGCACCGAGCGTACTAGATTCCTTGTGGTGGAACCGCTCCACCAAGGTTTAGATCTCACCGTAAGTTAGAAAAAAGGTTTGAAGTCTCGTACTCGGCATTGATGCCCGTATTTTTTTAGATTTATTTGACGGTGTTCCATTGACTATGAGGTGCCCTGACGACTTGGTTAATTTCAGGAATTGCGTGCGCCAGGACTGAAACGAGAGGGCAAACCAACCACGTGTTAAACGAAGAGGATTTGCCTTGCATACTGGGTGGAGAGAGCAGTAATGCCGACAATGGCGATGGTTCAGTCCGTGTCACGTCGGCGGAGAAGATCTTTGGCCGGCTGCTTGCTGGCCACAGCCTCGGATTTAGGCTGGCTGATCTGTTGGCGAGTCAGCGTAGACCCAGACAGCTCGGATGGGATCATCTCCTGCTCCTTTTCCAGCTCCGGGGCCCTTTAATTTCTTCCCGGCTGTTCCAGACGACTCCACACACACGCTACACAGTTTGGCTGCAGCTATCAGACTGGTTAACGTTAGCTACAGGATCCAAGCACACGCGCGGCGTCACCTTCAGATTCCCGGGCAACTTAAATTTTACAGATTCCTGGGCAACTAGTACAATTTTACGGTACTCCCTCTGTAAAGAAATACAGTATAAGATCGTTTAGATCACAATGTAGACTGTAGTACTAATACATCTTTCGAGTGGAAGTATTTGCAGGTGCATTTAACTGATCTGGCCAGCTGATGCATTTCTTCAGGCACTGCATACAGGACTAGAAATGAAATGGGAATTCACACAGGATTCTAAGCATTTGCACTTAACACAAGCACTGTGCATATACAACAACTATCATTTCTCACAGCAAACATGCAGTCATCAAAGGGAACTCGGTCTAGTGTTTGTGTCGACTACCTGCCTATCCTGGCGGGAGGAGTTCGACTCCCGGTTGTCCCACTGAAGGAAAGTTTTTATGTGTTGCAAACTCTTGTCTGTTTCCTTCTTAATCAATGGATGAGGCAAAGCTTTTGCCTCCGTTTCAAAAAAAGCAAACATGCAGTCGAGAAGAGTTTTATTGATTGATCTCAGGCAAAGTCAATGCAGCACCTCAGCGCCCTTGATATTTTTCGCAACTCTCACAAACATCAGTATACATAAATACCAAGAATCAGGACTATGACACACATATATTTACACACACACAGCTCGGTTGTTGAGCTACTCCTTTGCAGCTCAGCAACTAGACTAGACAGGAAACTCTCCATCAGTGAGTAGTTTACCCTCTCCATGTTACCTTAACCAGAGAGAGATCTCTAGCGAGCGAGCGATCGATCTCTGCTGACTAGTAAGTACTGTAGTTATTTCTCGTCCAACTTGGAGCGGGTCTCTGGCACTAATATTGCAGTGACCACCGAGTTAGTAGCTCGCGAGTCGTCAACATACTCCACGATTAGTTCAACCACTAACTGCAACACAAAAAAGAGAAGCAAGTAATAACAGGTTAGTTCGTGAAAAGGGTTTTACGGACAGTTAAGTGCAAAAGAGTTTTTACAATTATCACGGCAAAATACACTGTGAAACATTTCCAAAGTGTTCTCACCTCTAGAATTATCAGTTGCAAGCTTGGGCAGGCCTTGTAGGTGAAATGCTTTTCTTCTCATCCTGCGGTAGGACAGTCTCAAAGGCCTGGACCAGAAGCTCCACTTTCTTCTTCCGAGCAGGGCCGAGATTATTCACCGCCCTCCGAAGCGCGTAGTCGATCATCCACTCTTCGGCATTCTTGCGGTCTTCCGCCGTCTGATGCTTCAGATCAACCTTCTCTGCATCCGGGTCCGATTCCAGAGGAAGAAAATTCGGTGCCCTTGGGTTAAAGCCTCGCATGTATTCATCTTCTTCAGGTGTTCTCCTCCTCCCGGCAACGATCCTTCTGTTTCTCGGACATATCTCGGACTCGGTAGGATCAACATATACGTCGCCTTTGAGGTTCAACCCGCTGAATACGTTGCACATGTCGTCAATGGAAAATTCTTTTGCAACAGTGTCTTCTGCTGGTAGGTTCTGAGGCTCCCCATAGCCGTCAGTTGCTGACAGGTCATAGTTATGCTCAGGTATCTGGACAACGGGTGAGATATTAGCCTCCTTGGTAATACAAACTTCTTCACAAGCATCTGCCAATTCGGATGCCATGATCTCTGGTTCCTTTAGAGCACCAGTGCGGACACCAGGAGTGCTACCATCTTCACCCCCTTCTTGGATAATATAAGATTCTTCACAAGCAGTGTTATCATCTTCCACCCCTTCTTGGATTATATCAGATTCTTCACAAGCAGCGTTAACATCTTCACCCCCTTCTTGGATAATATGAGATTCTTCACAAGCATGTTCCGATTCGCATGCTATAATTTCCGATTCCTTTTGAGCACCATCATTGACATCTGAAATGTTGTCATCTTGAATAGCTTCTTGGGTAATATCATATGCTTCAGAAGCCTCTGCCAGTTCACAAGCGGTAAGCATGGATTCATTTGTAAAACCACCATTGACATCTGTACAGTTCTGATCCTGATCAGCTTCCTGGACATTAGCAGATTCTTCTCCCAATTCGCATGTGGCGATCCCAGAATCACTTTGAGCATCATCACTGACATATGCAGAGTTATCATCTTCACAAATTTCATGAGCAATACCAGATTCCTCAGAAGTGTCTACCAACTCGCTTGTGTCAACCCCTGATTGCACTTGAGCAGCCTCGCCGACATACACCAAGTTATCATCATGAACAGTTTCTCCAGTGATACCAGCTTCTGCAGAAGCACCTTCCAATTTGTAGTTTGTAGTCTCTGGTTCCATTTGAACAGCAGCATCAACACAGACAGGCTTAACATCTTGGGAGCTTTCTTGGGCAATACCAGACTCTTCTTCAGAAGAATCTTCCAACTTGCAATTTCTAACCTCTGGCTCTGGTTCCGTTTGAGCAGCAGCATCAACACATACAGGCTTAACATCCTGGCTGCTTTCTTGGGCAATACCAGACTCTTCAGAAGAATCTTCCAACTTGCAATTTGTAACCTCTGGCTCTAGTTCCATTTGCGCGCCACCATCAACACATAGGAAATTAACTTCCTGGCTGCTTTCTTGGGCAGTAGCATCAACACATAGGAAAGTAACTTCCTGGCTGCTTTCTTGGGCAGTACCAGATTCTTCAGAAGCATCTTCCAAATTGCATGAGGTAATCTCAATTTGCTTCTCAGCATCTTCTGTGACATCCACTGTGTCTTCTGCAGGGATACACTGATCAACAAAGTTGTTCACGGCACCGTCATACTGTTCAAAAGCGTCTTCCACCGTGTTCACATCTTGTTCAAAGCCACCCTCTGTTGGTGGTGTCGAGATTTCAGCATCCAGAGAAGCAATAGCACTGCAGTCAGAAATTTCACCTTCTGAAACAGCTCTGGAGGTTACTTCTTCCTCGACGAAATCCTCTTCGCATGCAACACTGGGGACAGTCTCAGAAATCTCCATTTCAGACTCATGATCCGGCATGTCCTGCTTCTCTGTAACTTCTAAGTTGCCGGTAGATTCAACGTTGCTCTGATCATCCTTTGTTCCCTGATCTGCTACACCATCCTCTTCCCGGCTCTCTTCGACGACATTCTCCACGCTTTCTGCTACTTCATTCTCAGGAATCTCCGGTTCACAGACACCATTGGAGAGCTGCTCTTCTGATGTGCCCTGTCCATCAGAAATATCCCCTTGGACCACTTTGCCCAGGATGTCTAGTTCATGCTGAGGAATCTCCGACTCGTCCACACCATTGGAGAGCTTCTCTGCTGACGTGCCTTGTCCATCAGAAGCATCCCCTTGGATCACTTTGCCCAGGATGTTGTCTTGATCTTCTTCTTCTTCCTGCTCATTGCAGACCTCCGCTGCACAAACAATACATGCTTGCGCCGCGGCGATCTTCATTTTGTGGGCAACATCCGAGACACGCTCCTCACCGTCTTCATGTTGCGTCTCTTGCACTGTGCAAGCCTCATGTTGATCCATTGTGTTTGAGATGTCTTCGCGGAGTGGAGATCTGCAATCGACACCCTCTTCCTCCGCGACGATCCCCGTTTCACGGGGCAGATCGGAGATGATCTCCTCGTGTTCCGGTTTCTGTTCTTCATCCGCCTCCTCTTCGTGATTATCGCTCGATCCGCCTTCTTCGTCGTTACATTGTTGCCCCTCTGAAACCTCTGCTTCCTGAACATGCTCCTCTGAAACATCATCCTCCAGGCTATCGCACTCGTACCTCATCCAGGGCAGCTCCTCCACGAGGTTGCCGGAGATGGGACCGGAGACAGCGTCATCGCTGCACTCCGACGAACTGTCCCTGCAGAAACCGAGCCTGTCCTCCTCCGGCCTCCTGCCGCCGTCACCGCCAACGGCAGGATCGCCGCCCTTCTCGTCGTCCTCGCCCACGCCGCACCGGTCGAAGACGACGAACTCCATCCTCCTCACCGCGGCGTCCATCTCGTCCAGGGACATGTCGCTGCAGCTCATGTCGGAGCTCACCCTCGGGCCGGCGTACACCTCCACGAAGAAGTCGCCGAGCGCCTCCTCGTCGACCAGAGGCGCGGCCTTGGCGACGGCGGCGCAGAGGACGGGGCCGCTTTTCTTGTCCTCCGGCCTCTGGTGGCCGCCGGATCCTTTGCGGAACGCCGAGACGCCCTTGTGCTTCATGCTCTGCTGCGTCTTGATGAGCCGGCGGCGCGACGCGAGGAAGCTCCGGAGCGGCACGGCCGGCGAGTGGGTGTGGCCGTTGAGGGAGCAGTAGTTGTAGGGGCAGACCCGCATCGCCGCGGGGCCCTGGGCGTCGGTGGCCCCGGGCGCCAGGTCGAGCGCGCCGGGGAACTTGGCCTCCTTCATGGTGGAGGAGCACGTGGGCGTGGCGCGGACCATGCCGGGCACCTCCGGCGTCGGGAACAGCACCCTCCCCATCGTGACCGCCCGCGCCGGCCCCCGCCTGGTCGTGGGCGACGCCGACGAGGCCACCGCCCCCGCGCGCCGGCCGGGCCCGGCCTTGGCGCCGGAGCTGCTGGTGGCCCGCATGTAGTTGGGCACGGAGGCCGGCGCCGGGGACATGGCCGAGCCGCCGCGGTTCCTCGGCAAGCTTCCGCAGAAGCCGCCGTCGTCGTCGTACCTGAATCCCCTGGGCTTGGACGGAGGGGTCATGAGCGGGTCCTTGGGCCTCTTGGGCACCTCTTTGCTCCTCACCATGGCTGGCTGCTACTACAGTACTAGTACCAGTACTATCCTTGTTTCTTTCTTGGCTTCTCTCCTGGGATTCCTCCCTCGGGTTCTTGGAGCCAAAGCTTCCGTCTGGAATCTCTCGGCTTGTGGTGGGAGGTTCCGTGGAGTGCTTGGCTTCTTCCTTCTTCTCGCGTTCAACGGCGGCCCGCGGGCGGCAAGAAAGCCGGAGCAAAGGTGATGTGAAGTGCGGGGGAGCGGAAGTTGGGAGTTGGAGGAGGGAAGAAACGGGATTAGACTCAAAGGAAGAGTGGAAGGGAAGAATAAAGAAAGATGGGTTGTGTGCGGGGAGAATGAGATTGCGATGGGAGGAAGAAGGGGAGCCGCGGCGAGTGGGTGGGCGGCTCAAAGGGACATCCTTGATGGTGAAGGCCGGGCCGAGAGCGACGTTTTTTCCTTCTCCTGGACGCCGGATCCTCTGTGACGGCTAATCGTGTGAACCTTCTTGATCTTGGAGAGTGGTGCATGGTTGGTTCTAGAGGATCCATTTATGAGAGCGTTTTACGTTCCTCTTAACATCCATTTATGTCGAGTTGGCTGGTGTTAAAAGGCATGGACAGTGGACGGATTTAGGAGTAGGTTGTTGCTCGTCTCTCATAAATTCATTCCTTGAGAGCTCTGGGCTTGTACCAGTAAGATTTTGATGGCACCAACTAGTAGCCTTGATGTTTTATCTAGTACGCTTAAGACCTCTAGGTTTTTGTACGACAGTCACTTAAAACCTCTAGGTTCGTTGCTCTAGGGTGTACTGAAGTCTTAACTCGAAACCTTTCTTTCGTAGGCACTCCTTGAACGCATTGAGACCGACCGTAAACTTGATGCATGGCGGTACATACTCCTGAGTACTCTATTACAGAAGCGTGGTGGCTGCTGAGTTGTCGCCTCAGCTGATCCCGTGGATAAAGATGGATTGAGGGGGTGACGTGGATCTCCACTTTACTGACGGCGATCTAGATTAGCTTTACGTGCCGGGGCTATTGGTCTTTCATTATACTGCTGCAGATGGGCCCAAAGTTTTCATCACATCTTGATTTGTTTTGTTATCAGGAGCGTGGCACACCATGGTTTGCCTTCCACGCAGCCGCGGCTTTTTCCGGCTGCGCCGCGTGCGTGCATCGGGAATAACGTGTGCAGTCAACTGGGTATGAAACTAGTCGTAGTACGGATTTTCTAGAGCTACACCCACCAACTTAACTAATAAATGCATCTTCAATAGATGATATAAATTTTTATTTTTGCGAGAATAGATGATATAATTTATTTTTTTGCGAGAATAGATGATATAAATTTGAAGATGTAAAACTAGAAGATGTAGGATTTACGTCTTTAAAAAATGTATTTTATTTTTAAAAAGGCTAACTCCAATAGATAATGCAAACGGAGATGTAAAAGCTGTTGACGGCCGCGCGGCTGTTGTACAGTTGTCGTACAGCTGCATTTGAACATTCAGATAGCAATAAATTTTAGGTTTCTACCAACTGAAGTATATCGTATCAATCAAAGTTTGAAATCCAACAACCAAAAATGCATTGTCTCAAACTCTTGGTCCAACAAATTGAAATGCACATAAACATCAAATATATCACTCAATTTCCGTCCTTTCCGTTGTCACTAGCGACCTTGTGGATGGTGGTATCATCATCAATGGCTTCTTTGTCGATGTTTTCATGAGTCGATGTCTCGTTGCCGCGAACTCCAGCGAAAGCACGTTCATTGCCATCTTCCATGCCTTGTTGTCGTCAAAGCCGCCTCCCATGCCACTCATGTTGCCGCCGAAGCCACCTCCCATGCCACTCATGTTGCCGCCGAAGCCACCTCACATGCCACTTATGTTGCCGCGAAGCCACCTCCCATGCCGCTCGTGTTGCCATCGAAGCCACCTCCCATGCAACTCATGTTACCGCCAAAGCCACCTCCATTGCCGCCCATGTTGCCACCAAAGCCACCGCCCATGCCACTCATGTTGCCACCAAGCCACCTCCCATGTTGCCACCAAATGCACCATTCATGGCACCTCTCATCACGTTCATGTAGCCGCTCATTCCTCCTCCCATGTCACCTCCCATTCCTCCTCCCATCCCTCCTCCCATCCCTCCCATGGCACCTCCACCATCTTGTACTCTTCGATCACCACCTTCCTCTCCTCTAATTCAACCTTTCTATCCTTGGTCGTCGCCCTCTTCTCCTCGGACACCGCCGCCGTCTGCTTCTCCCCTCTCCTCCATTTCTTTTAACTTCAACATTTCTTCTTCTTCGGCATATTATTTTCCTCGCAACGACAATGACGCTAAACCCTTATTTAAGATCATTGTCTCTGGCCTTAGAACCCTTCAGGTTCTTAGTTTCATCAGGCCAATATGATTTAGTCACTGAGTGATGAGTGGGGCTCCTTCTCTCCTCACCGGTGCCATCTTCTTCATCCTCCACCACCACATTTTTCTTCTTTGAAGCATCAAAAACTTCTCTAGTTTTCCATTTCTCCTCATCCTTGAGCTCTTTGTAGCAATGATGGAAAGTGAAAGCTTTTCCTTTCTTCTTCCTCTTCTCTCCTTTGTTGTTCACCACTCGAAATAATCCTTGCGCAATCATTTTCTACAAGAAAACAACCAAGATGTCATCGTCAAATTAGGGAACATTTCAATATTTGCGGAAAGTAGTGAAAGCACACATAAGTAGCAAATGATTACCATGTCACTATGCCGCAACCACTCAGGATCATGTGATCAACATTTGCCAAGCAACCGGCCCACTTTTGGCATTCGTCTTAGATGGTGCCCCAATGTGACAAAGACAGTCCCTTGAGCGAAAGTGGCCGCTAGTGCTGCACTCATCGAAGTACTCCTTGATGCGTTGCATGTACGTGTTCGTGGCTTGCTCAGTGCCAATGAATGCATCAAGAGACTTTTCCATGCGATATAAATCAACACATCTTCGGCATTGGTATAATTCATGGTTCTTCCCTTCATAACGAAGCCCTCTTCGTCCATGTTGAGATTATCATCATCACATTGAGTATAATATCATATTCTTTTGATGCACACTCATGCGAGAAAACAATCATCATTTGACACATTTGTAGCGCGCATGAAAGCTTCATCATCAAGACTACAAATGGATGTACAAGTAATCAACCTCACATTCTATTCGCCTAAAAAATGAAAGAACAAACCAGAGCAAATAAAAGAATTTTATTTACCTTTGTGATATTTCGTTGAACACGTTGGATGCGGTGCCCGTCGGCTTGACCACATCTTCCTCCATGGTCGGCAGTGCCAGAGGTGGAGGAGGGGCACCTTGGCCGGAGGAGGATGCCAAGGCCGCCGGCAACCGGCAATCGTCTGAGGCAGCCATGTCCGGCTTCAAATTCTTGGTCGCCCTACTTTGGTTCGACGCATGGTTGCACCCATGCACCGCTGGTCGCTTCATGCCTCCATTGCAGGGCTTGGCAGCCCGCTGCTTCTTCACAAGTGGCCCAGGCGCGATGATGACCAGCCGAGGTGGGGTAAAACTGGAGGGCCAACATGGAGGCGGAGGCCAAATTAGGAAAGGTGGTCGTGGAGGTGGCGGCTGTGGCGAGGTGGGTCAGACCACCGATGGCGGCGGAGGAGGAGGCAACGGGGTTATCATCATCGGCCATGGCGGCGATGGGCGGGAGGCAGACGGTGGTAGGCGGGCGGCAGGTGGTCGGGAGGAAACCAAATGAAGGCAGTTGGGCGGTTGGCGCGAGACCATCGATTTTACATTTCCAGTAGGTGGAGATGCAATTTTGCATCTCCTGGTGTTGTATTTTACATCTCCTGGAGGTGGAGATGTAAAATATTTTGCATCTACATCATCTGTTGGAGAGGGGTTTGGGGGCCTCGGGGATGCAAAAGTTAGTTATTGTTGAAACTACATATCTATAGGAGATGCTCTAAGGGCATCTCCAACGCCGATTATCAATCCGCCTACATTCATCCGGACCGTGAAAACCATCCAGCGAGGGCCTATATCGGTCCGTTGAGCGGTCAGGGCGTGTTTTCTCCTGCAAACCGGAATCAAACATGGGGGGTTTTGCCGAAGTCCGAACACGCGAAATGTCGCTATCTACCCCCTGGCCCACCCAAAAGGAAGGCGGGGCCTGCTCTTTTGTAGCAACCCACATTGTTTCCGTGTGCAAATCCCCCACTCTCTTCTTTCATCCTCCACCACTCTCCGCCAAATTCCCGCTCTTTTCTCACACCCTCTCCTTCCTTCACGCATGGAGCGTCGACGAACTTGTCGAAGGTGGAGGCGGCAGAGGTATCGGAGGATTCGAGCATCACACTCTCCTGGACGATCAACTCGGCTACTCGGCAAACTCATCGCATCAAAGCAAAGTCCGCAAAGAAGGAGAAGCTCAAGAAGTAGTTGTCCACCCATGGGTTTGGTGGTGGCATTGGATGTGGTGGTCACGGTGGTCGTGGAGGATGTGGTGGACGTCGACAGATAGGCACGCCCACAGTATATATAGCGCCATGGCCGGAGCATTACAAGCCTCCGTACTACTATGCCACCAAGCAGCTCGGAACCCTCGCCAGTAAGGTGCCTTGCATCGTCAACGTAAATGCGGTGCCGCTCTTATACGAGTATTCTTCGCCGCAGCTCGTCCTGTTGGGAAATGTAGTAGAAAACACAAAAATGTCGCCCTACAATCACTCGGGAACAATATGAGGATGCATATAGGGTTTGGATCAATGATCGTTACCGACTTCGGAGTGCAGCGAAAGTAGATGAGTTGGTTTAGTTCGTACTTGGAGTCCCTTGAACCGTTGATTACGATCTTGCGAACCGCCCACGAATGATCCCTCGAACGGAAGACCGAAAGCACGACCTCTCTACTTGGATGCGAGCATACTGTCCTCACGATCCGACAGCACTTCGCCGTCCAAAGCTAATCATCATCAGGGAATTAGAGGGACAAGATTAGAACCACACTGGGCTTCTAATTA